ATGCCCAGCTGCCACTTGCCGCCTTCCATCTGGAGCAAGCCACCCCCACATCATGCACCCCTCCCCCAGTAGTGCACCCCACTCCGCCCCAGCTGGGCAGCTTGTCCCATCCCCAACCCCTCCCTCCCCCAACCCCAGCCTCACCTGCTGGGGGCTGCTGTGTCAGCCATCTGTTCAGTCTGTGGCTGAATCTCCAAAGCGGCACCAAATCTTTCAGAACTGATTTGGCCAAATCAAATTAGGACAGTAATTCGAATCTCCAAATCTAATCTAATCACTGACCTCTGAATCGGCCAAATCCAAATCCAAAGTGAATACTTGCCGCTTCGTACAGGCCCAGTGATCCGAATAATCACACTTTTACTACCCCTCTTCCCCTCCATACACACATTAATTTGCTGGAGCTGGCAATTTTTAGCAAAGAATTTTGTTCTAGCTCAGTGATTGTATATACAGGCATGCCACAAATTAGCCCCACACATTTCCAGAGTGCCGCTCTGATCCCATTCCTCTACCTGATCTGCTGCTCTGCTTTCTGATTCCTCCCCTGTGCTCCCTACTTGATTTAGCTTTGCCTTCTGCTTCCTGCTCTCTCTCCTGCTGTGCTGCCTGTTCCCTCCCTCATCTGCTGTGTGCCACATAGGCTGCCCATGAGTCTTGTGATATTCATGGTGCAGGTTGGCCAATCCGGTATATAATAATGACTTTACTTTCGATGTTCATCTCTTGTATTGTTCCAGCATTACATACTGATTAAAGTCCTCCTTAGTGGTTGATAACTAAATTAGCACTTTGAAGTGTGATGAAATTATTAAACTGGCTTCCTTTATTGACAGCATTAACAAGGAGAGCATTGTGGATGTAGAAGGTGTTGTGAGGAAAGTGCATCAGAAAATTGGAGGCTGTACTCAACAGGATGTTGAGCTGCACATTCAAAGGGTAATTTTCTAACCAAATAGTGATGGGTGAAATATCTGATATGCTTTTTAAAAAGTGTTTTATAAAAATGTTGTCCAATGTCCATTTTTATTATACGTGTAAGGGAAATATGCTTTGTAAACTAGTCACCAAGTAAATTGCATTAAGCCCACAAACTTAACTGTTTAACATAGGGGTTGTCAACTGGGGGTACTTGAAACAGTCCTAGGGGGTACGTGCGGGCAGGGGGGGATGGAGCGCTGCCACCTCCCAGGAGCAGTG